CAAGACCCAGACCTACATTTTGATGCATAGTATGTCTCTGAAGTATTAAAATTGAAGGCACAGTCGCAGTTTAGAAATTGCACTTCAAATTTGAGCTTTGCAGAGTGAAGTTTCAATGAAAGTCAATGGACGGCGTAGTTGCAAACAAATGATTATATTGTGAAAACTATCAGGACTATGGCTTAGCCGTTGACATGTTTAGTGGCAGCAGGGATAGCTGAACGTTTTGATATAAGATTTGTGTAGGTGGGCCTGAAACTAAGGGAGTGGTGGCAGTTTAGAAATCATGTCCTGATTTTTCAGCTTTTGCCAGCTCCCACTCTAGCTTTGCCATTCATTCCTATGGGACAAATTTCACCACAAGAACGACGATATTCCGTGAACCATTCGGCGAAACGTTCCACAAAGTAATAGCAATCCGATCGGGAACAATCTGCACGTTTTGGTAAATTTTGGTCTATGTAGTGTAAAAACCGTGGGAGGAGTTAGGGTGGCAAATTTGGCTATAATAAGAATAATATATATGTGAGATAACAATAAGTGTTCTTGCAAGAACACTTAATAACTAGAAAAGCTACAATTTCTGGGGAAATTGTGTGAAGTGTTCTTGCCTCCACCAGGAGTCTTCAACTGGAGTGGGCAGAGTAACTGTTATCATTTATATAGCACATTCAATTGCAACGTTGTTGCACAGTTACATTAAACCATACATTTCTAAAACATTAGCAGGTGTTCAAAAGGCCCTGTCTATGACATCACTTGCTGCTGCAGCCTGACACAGGTCAGAGTATTTTGGCGGTTGCCATCTTCAAACGGTCGTATTTTAAAAACTATCAATCCTACAGCGAAGAGCTTTATATTGTGAGAATCACAAGACCCAGACCTACATGACCACAAGAAGTCTTAAAACACGCTTAGGTGAACACTGCCGGAATATTATTAATGGATACCAGAATCATACGGTATCTAAACATTTTATCATTCATAATAAGGATCCTGGCCTTTTAAAATGTATTGGCATAAAAAAATGCACCATTCCATGGAGAGGAGGTAACATCAAAAATATTTTAGGAAAATGTGAAATGGAATGGGTCTTTAATTTAAAAACATTGGTTCCAAATGGTTTAAATGCAGACTTTGATTTATTTAATTTTATCTAAATATTTTACATAACATTACCACTCTTCTTATTATATCTTATTTTAACATATATTAAAATGTTTTATGTGCTTATGCCCTTATTATTTTAATACTAGCATTTTACATATGTATATGTTTTATTATGTTATTATGTTTTAATACTCCTATTTTGTTTAATGTAAAGATGTGCCACCTCTAACATGGCCACCTATTCAACTATTCACCCAGCCTATATTCCCCTCCCAAGATGGCTGCTGCCATTATGTTTTCACTAGCAATCCTTCCCCCTGTGGTTTCACAACCACTCCCCCCTTCCCTAACCCCATAGCATATCCAGTGAGATTGACATGTAGTCTAACCTTAGACTACATGTCCCATACTCCCTCCGAAACCGGAAGTGACGTCGCGTCGCGTCCGGTACGCGCGTCACGTGCCCCTTCCAATGGTGTTCCTCCCTCCCTCCCTCCCACCCTGTAAGCCCAATGTTGGGCTCTATTTGCATTAGGGACATGTAGTCTAGCCACAGACTACATGTCCCATGACCTCGCCGAACCGGAAGTGACGTCGCGCTAATGACGTGCGTCACATGGTTCAGTTCTAAAATGTAAATACAATGTAATAAATGCTCGTTTTTGTATAAAACCTATGTCATTAGCATTATATAAGTTATATAAATCTAACCTTTATTCAGAATTGTTGTTATGAAAGTGTAAAATCGATCTGTTTAACTATTGGTTGTACAATTTTGGCGCCAATTTTATAATTATTTTATACCTATATAAACCCTAACTAGCCAGGTAGAATTGTTTGTTATCCATTGATAAAGCCTTACATTGGTGAAACGCGTTTGGATATTTTATACTATTTTATATATTGTTAATAAAAGATTTTGGTCACTTTTACGTATAAACCATCATCTTTTTTTATTACCTGGCTATTTTAATAACTTTCTATTTATATATATTTTTTTTTTTTATATATTTTTTTTTTAATTATTTTAAGTCCTGTATACCATACTCCAAGAATCCCAGGTGGGGATTATACCACCTACGCTGTTACATAGAGCAGTTAGCCTGCCCTATACACTGTGAGTATATTTTATTATTTTATTTTACCATTCAAGATTTTATTGAGAGCACTATCGCTGTTTTACCTTCTCTTCGAGCTCCTGATACTTCGATCAAGATCACTCCTCATATATCCCATAAGCGGGGATGATACCGCTGTACGCCTAACCAACTAGAGCTAGCCTAAGCTCTACCGAATGTGAGTGTATCTATCATATTTTATTATATTTTTTATCAGTGTAGAACATACTGCACCATTACTGTCTTCATTTTATCTTCCCCAACTACGGCCACCTGCTACCACAAAGAAGAGGACACTTGCCGAATATCCTGTAAGCGGGGATAATACCGCTGCGAGCTATCCACACCAGAGCTGGGTTAAGCTCTGTTAATTGTAAGTAAGATCTCTTCTACTTCTTATATTTGGACTACTCTCCACGATACCGTACCTTTTGAACCCCACCAAAAGTAGAACTTTGGACACGACAATATACATTGGACTCAACACTCAGTGTACACAACGGCGCAGACCCATCCCCCATTTTTTTTCTGCTCCTACCATTTGTATTCCAAGGACACTAGAGGGAATCCTTGTTTGGGACTGCTGCCTCTCTGACTAGCGCTGACTCAACCCCCCGCTTTGTTATCCTTGTTTTCCCTCTTGAGTTTGCGGCTTTTCTTCCTGCTACAATGTCTATATTTGAATTTAGAAATAATTATACTATTGATATCAATAGTGTTTTCAACACAGAAACCCACAGTCCTATTTTCCTGAGACAAAATAGTTCTAGCCAACAAGAAATTTTTACAAAACTTGAAAAAATTTTAAGTACAGAAATAAAATTAAAATGGGAAATTGCTACCCTAAAAAAATCCATTCATGAACGCATTACACCTAGAGGTTTGAGACTATTTAAATCTCCAACCTCAGATCAAGATGATAGTGAGTTCATGGAGGAATGGAACAATAAGCTCGAAACATGCACTTTTGGTCTAATGGAAACGCTTATAGTGAAAAAAAGTAAAAAATTATCTCTATTAGACTCACAAATTAACGACCTTAAAGAGCAATTGCTTCCATTCCTTGATACAAAAGTTTACAAACAAAATTCCATTCTCATCCAAAGCAAAATTGAAAAAATTGAAACAGATACCAAACATATTAAAGTAACAAAATATATCAGGGACAAGTCGGACTATGCGAATAATCAAGTTAGGACATACCATCAGAACAAAAGATACACCTCGGAAGCACTATCACCAAATAAACAATATGCATCAAAAGAATACTCCAATCACCTTAGATACCCATCTAAACAAAGAACTCAATTTTCTCGTAATTACCCTGTTATGAAAACCAGGAAATTTTCACACCACTCACCACCAAGGATACGTCAAAACAGGCCATACACAAACTATCACCATACCCCCCCACCAAGGCATCACCGACCTGCCAATCCCTCCCATTACCAATACCAACATCAACCAAAATACCAAACCACCTCACGAAGAATACCTCCCACTCACTTTCATTCATCTGACTATTATAATGTACCCAGTCCTACTACTAAACCAGCATCACCTAAGCCCCAAGGAACCAGATTTACCAACGAAAAAAGTAATGAGTATCTCAACCATTCCAAATCTCCTATCACTTACCAACACCCGAATAGATACCAATTACTTTCAATAGACTCTGAAATTGAGAATGAAGAACATTTTTTAGACATTCAAACCCACCACAACACATGTACATTGACACCCTACCCTTCAAGAGCAAAGAAAAGAAATCTAAGTTTAGAGGAAAGCGAGGTGGAAGACGATCACAAAAGAGAGAGACTAGAGAGATTATAAATCCTCCAATCGAAAAAGAAGGTGGCATTTTTAACCTATCCCAAAAAATTTTAACCTCAGCACAAATTTCTGTTTTAACTAAAGGTCTTAAATTTGCTCCTACACACTCTTTTAAACCCTTTGAAGCTTATCTAGACATCAACAAATTTGTACGAAAAGCCACCCTTAAGAGATTTTTTAATGCCCATAATTCTTCTACTAACCCACCTCCTAACCCCATTTCTCCCTCACAACAAGAGGCCAAAGTTATCAATACTAACTTAAAAGAAAAATCCAAATTTTATCCTGCCCATTGCAAATCCGCACCGCTTGTAATGTTTGAAAAACTTGTCATACAAGATTTAGAAAGAATCAAACCTACCAAATTCGACACTCATAACCTAACACAAAGTGAAAGAGTAGCAATCAAACAACTACAGGATGATAAGACCATAGTAGTCAAACCAGCAGACAAAGGGGGAGGCCTGGTTATCCTATCAAGTACTATGTACATTGAGGAAGCCAACCAACAACTTAATGACACTCAAGTTTACGAAAAATTACTATCAGATCCAACTGCTAATATAAAAGAGACTTTTTCAACGTTTTTAAAAAAAGGTGCAGATCTTAATATTTTAAGCAAACAAGAAGCTAATTTCCTAAACATCCAATATCCAGAAATTCCAGTAATCTATTTTCTACCAAAAATTCACAAAGATACAACTAACCCACCAGGTAGACCCATTGTGTCTGGGATAGGCTCACTTTTAAGCAACTTATCACAGTATATCGATACTCTTCTCCAACCCTCTGTCAAGCTTATGAGGTCCTATCTGAAGGATTCCATGACTCTTTTAAGATTTTTAAACAATTTTAGCTGGCAACCTAATTTTATTCTAGTCACTTGCGATGTCCAGTCTTTATACACAATCATTCCCCATGACATAGGGTGCAACGCAGTGCATAATATCCTCACACAAGAAAATAGAATCCCTAATATTCAAATTGATTTTATTATTGAAGGTATTAATATAATTTTAAAGAACAATTATTTCTGTTTTTTTAATTGTTTTTATCTACAAAAACGAGGTACAGCTATGGGAACCAGGTTCGCCCCCAGTTATGCCAACCTCTTCATGGCAGATTGGGAATCCACTGCCATCTGGGGCGAGCATACATGGCGGGCGAACCTGATCACATATTTTAGATACATAGATGACCTCTTTTTTATCTGGAACGGTTCAGAAGATTCTTTAAAATTATTTATTAATCATCTTAATTGTAACAACAGAGGCATCATTTTAACTTACGAATACAGTAAAACTACCATTAACTTTTTAGATCTGGAAATTTTTATTAAAAATGATATCTTAAATACCAAAACCTTTTTTAAAAAAGTATGCACAAACACAGCCATTGACCGCTCAAGTTGCCACTACAAACCATGGCTGGAAAGTGCACCAAAAAGTAAATTTTTAAGACTGAGAAGGAACTGCTCTCAAATAGAAGATTTTAACTCGCAAGCTGCTTTTTTGAAAAATCAATTCACAGAAAAAAATTACCCAATAGAGAACCTTAATAATACCATAGAATCAGTTAGAATTAAAGAAAGAACAGAACTTTTAAATTACAAAGAAAAAACCACTAATAATCACCTTAACCTTCCGATTATCTTCAATTTTAACAACAAAAGTAACCATGTTAAAAAAATTATAAAAAAACACTGGCACCTATTACAACATGATGATACTCTTAAGAAAATCATACCAGAAAGACCAAATATTGTCTTTAGAGGAGCCCCTAGGTTAAAATCTATTCTAACCTCCAACTACACAAAAGAGAACAAACAAAAGTCACAAACCTGTCTTTTACCTAATATTAAAGGGTTCTTTAAATGCAAACACTGTAAAGTATGCAAATGCACAGATCAGTCGATTAAAACTAAAACCACACACTTTCAGTCTAATAAAACCAACACAACATATAACATTAAGGATTTTATTACATGTACTACAAAGAATGTAATCTACCTCCTAGAATGCCCATGTGGATTACAATACATGGGCATGACCACAAGAAGTCTTAAAACACGCTTAGGTGAACACTGCCGGAATATTATTAATGGATACCAGAATCATACGGTATCTAAACATTTTATCATTCATAATAAGGATCCTGGCCTTTTAAAATGTATTGGCATAAAAAAATGCACCATTCCATGGAGAGGAGGTAACATCAAAAATATTTTAGGAAAATGTGAAATGGAATGGGTCTTTAATTTAAAAACATTGGTTCCAAATGGTTTAAATGCAGACTTTGATTTATTTAATTTTATCTAAATATTTTACATAACATTACCACTCTTCTTATTATATCTTATTTTAACATATATTAAAATGTTTTATGTGCTTATGCCCTTATTATTTTAATACTAGCATTTTACATATGTATATGTTTTATTATGTTATTATGTTTTAATACTCCTATTTTGTTTTATGTAAAGATGTGCCACCTCTAACATGGCCACCTATTCAACTATTCACCCAGCCTACATTCCCCTCCCAAGATGGCTGCTGACATTATGTTTTCACTAGCAATCCTTCCCCCTGTGGTTTCACAACCACTCCCCCCTTCCCTAACCCCATAGCATATCCAGTGAGATTGACATGTAGTCTAACCTTAGACTACATGTCCCATACTCCCTCCGAAACCGGAAGTGACGTCGCGTCCGGTACGCGCGTCACGTGCCCCTTCCAATGGTGTTCCTCCCACCCTCCCTCCCACCCTGTAAGCCCAATGTTGGGCTCTATTTGCATTAGGGACATGTAGTCTAGCCACAGACTACATGTCCCATGACCTCGCCGAACCGGAAGTGACGTCGCGCTAATGACGCGCGTCACATGGTTCAGTTCTAAAATGTAAATACAATGTAATAAATGCTCGTTTTTGTATAAAACCTATGTCATTAGCATTATATAAGTTATATAAATCTAACCTTTATTCAGAATTGTTGTTATGAAAGTGTAAAAACGATCTGTTTAACTATTGGTTGTACAATTTTGGCGCCAATTTTATAATTATTTTATACCTATATAAACCCTAACTAGCCAGGTAGAATTGTTTGTTATCCATTGATAAAGCCTTACATTGGTGAAACGCGTTTGGATATTTTATACTATTTTATATATTGTTAATAAAAGATTTTGGTCGCTTTTACGTATAAACCATCATCTTTTTTATTACCTGGCTATTTTAATAACTTTCTATTTATATATATATATTTTTTTATATATATATATTTTTTTATTATTATTTTAAGTCCTGTATACCATACTCCAAGAATCCCAGGTGGGGATTATACCACCTACGCTGTTACATAGAGCAGTTAGCCTGCCCTATACACTGTGAGTATATTTTATTATTTTATTTTACCATTCAAGATTTTATTGAGAGCACTATCACTGTTTTACCTTCTCTTCGAGCTCCTGATACTCCGATCAAGATCACTCCTCATATATCCCATAAGCGGGGATGATACCGCTGTACACCTAACCAACTAGAGCTAGCCTAAGCTCTACCGAATGTGAGTGTATCTATCATATTTTATTATATTTTTTATCAGTGTAGAACATACTGCACCATTACTGTCTTCATTTTATCTTCCCCAACTACGGCCACCTGCTACCACAAAGAAGAGGACACTTGCCGAATATCCTGTAAGCGGGGATAATACCGCTGCGAGCTATCCACACCAGAGCTGGGTTAAGCTCTGTTAATTGTAAGTAAGATCTCTTCTACTTCTTATATTTGGACTACTCTCCACGATACCGTACCTTTTGAACCCCACCAAAAGTAGAACTTTGGACACGACAATATACATTGGACTCAACACTCAGTGTACACATCGGCGCAGACCCATCCCCCATTTTTTTTCTGCTCCTACCATATGCTTTTTCTAATATAAAATATTGATCCTTTCATAGTAAAACGTTTAATTATACAGTAAGCATACTCACATGCAGACACAGACAATCTCACTGACACACAGCCTCTTAGACAAACAAACAGTCTCACTGATATACATAAGCTCATTGACATAAAAACACAAGCTCACTCACTAGCAGGCACACCCAGACACACACATGCAAGCAAGTTCACTCACTAGCAGGCGCACACACCGCTTAATGTAGTGGTTCTGGTGTATATAGCCTGTCCCTGCAGGCTTTTCAATGTAAACACTGACTTTTCAGAGAAAGGTCAGTGTTTACATTGCTTCCTAGTGACACCTCTAGTGACTGTCACTCAGGCGGTAACTAGAGGTGCTTCCTGTGTCAGTGCTGCACCTACATTCAGAGCTTCCACGCTCTGGGTGTGCTGATCAGTTCCCCATAGAGAAACATTGATTCAATGCATCTCTATAAGGAGATGCTGATTGGTGTAGCGTTTTGCTGCCAATCTTATGGCAAAGAATTGGATTGGCTGAGATCATCAAGCTGACGTCTGAGTGAAAAAATTTTGTACAAGAATCACAAGATAAAATTGGTGTCACCACCAAAAATCAATCTGCCTCTGACCCCATCTGAAACCTTGCCAACAATCGATTTCAAGAACGAAATTGCCTAGAGTTAGGGAGATATAGGTTTACCAGACTGTACTCAACACTAATTACTGAACCTTTCCAGATTAGATATCTGCTGTTTGGACCTAAAGTCACATCATCTGTGTGGCAAGCCACATTTTTACTAAAAAATATGGAGACATCCTTAGACATCCTTAGATTTCTTACAACATGCAGGGTGATACTGGGTGGGGTAGTCTTTCTTCAGAATATTGGGTATTTTATCTTTCTTAAAATGAGTCTCCTGAATGAAAAACACCTCTGGCTTGTTACATTTCACCTCTTTGAATAAGAGTTTTTGTTTGTGCGGAGTGTTCAGTCCCCTCACATTAAGTTATAAAAAACATTTCTATTGCTCAAAAAGAGCAAATAAGAACAAAAGAAAATATTGGTGAAGGAATCCAAATACACCGCACAACTCAAAATATTTTGACATTTGTCAATCCCATGAGTAATTAGGATCCACCTTAATGATGTTTGTTTAACTCCGTGTATCACTGATATATTAACCAAAATTATGACACCAAGAAAATATAGTAGCACAATATGGATGACATACGTATTTTGTTTAAATAAATGATAAAAGGGAAGAAAAACTTGGAGAAAACCCATTAGTAAGGGGAAAAACTAAAATAAAATATTTACAAAAAGCAAGGCCTTGAGTGGGGAATGTAAAACTATCCCCATCTTAAAAATATACAGGCCTCTGTTGGGGGTGAGGAGATTGGGGACAAAGGGCTATTTATATATTGAGAGAAAAGGAAAAACTAAAAATGAAAACAAAAATTGAGAAGAAAAAAATTCAAAAACAAATAAAAAGTAAAAATTGGAAAAGAGAGAAAAATTATTTTGTCATCAAAGCACATTTTAAATGGCTAAAAAAAACTCTACAGCAGTAGACCAAAATAAAAAATTATAAACCAATAACCAAAAATCACGGGGCTGAAAATCCAGTGTCCACACACAAATCTCCAGAGTCAGCAATCAGGAACCTTCAGAAGAACCACCTTCGGCTGGAATCTGGAACTAGGAACCACTGTATCAAATCCGTACAGTAGGAACGGAAACCAAGAACCAGAAATCAGAGGCTTTATTTCCATATATCCATGAATAGTGGATTTTGGACAGGAACACACATAGAGCCAAAACAGGTAAACAGTAGCAAAGAAAGCTCTTTTGTGATCAACGGTAAGACAGCACATCTTTGTCTTATCTTCCTGGGGAGTAGAGGAGTTAGGTGCTGCGGTTCCAGGATCAGAGCCTCTCAAAGTGTGAAGAACCTCCATGCCTTCTTCAGGTAGAATCGTCTCCGTGAACCCGGGCAAAGATGGTACTGCTTCCCATTAAACTTCCAGACCATCTAGATAAACGAAATTCGGGAGATATGATCTACAACGCGAGCGGCACTCAAAGGCCTACTTCCCTTACTTACATCTGGGGGTGCTGCAGGTGTCCCGCTACACCACTGGAGCCTCTGTCTTCTAAGGTACGTTCAACTCGTGAACAAGACCTTCGTGGTTTGTGTTGCAGGATGCCGCGAACTGTCCCATGGCATCCCCAGGCTACTCCACCTCCATAGCGCATGCGGCTCTCGATCGAGGATGTGAGCGGGTCTCTTCAGGCCACCCGCCTCACAGGCTGCTGCGGTGGAAGCCACAGCAGCCCAAGTCTTAGCAGGGGCCACAAGGGACTTAACAGATGGTAGATGTGATGGTAGTATAGGGTATCACCGTCAAGCATTCCCTTCTTTCCATAAAAGAAAATCACCCAATATTCCACAAGTAGAAATATCACTGGAATCGCCAAATAATCCACACATGAGCCAAAGCTTAATGCTGGAACAAGAGTAATTTACTGGCACACAGAACTCACAATTTATGCAACACAAAACTCCTCCTCTGGGCCAGACTAGATAATTGAGTTTCTACAATACACAAAGCTCAATTATCTGCTGGCCATAAACATTAACATTTTTAACAATTTCAGAAACATACTTTTTACAAGACATACAAATATACTTTTAACCCTGGATAGCTGAGGATACTGGTAGTTACATATCCAAATATCACGAATTTCTGTTCGGTAATTTCCGTGTCGCATCGTGTGGAAGTTTGACCGGCTTGCCATGTGGAGGTATCCGAGTTAGAGTTCCATAGAATCAGTAGCAAGAGCCGGTCTCCGTTCGCATCTAACTACACGAAAACCACCGTTCGTATGGTTCAGCTGGTTACATGTGAATGTTCCCCTCATTTGGTAGATGCTATCTACCGAACGCCAGTTTGATTCGTGGAGGGGAACGTATTCATCCAGGACTTCCATGGGGACTGGGCGTTCGCATGTTTGCCGTGCCGAAATTAGTTCCAGGCAATTCATGCGTAAGCCCCGCTGACCGCACTTGTGAGTTTTAAGATGGCCGCCATCCTTTGTTCTCGCCACGTGTTCGTATGTCGAATGGCGGCCACCTAGTAGCAATTAAGTCGCGGTTTTCTCTGCGTTCTAATGCTGATTGCTACCCAGGGTGTGTGGTTTCCGTTCAGTAAACGAATACATTCATTCCATACATATTGAACCGAACTGATACAGGCATTTAAACAGCAGGGAGAAGGTTCAACTGAAGGCATATATGTAAGTACAAGAGCTCCTTCACAGTAGAATAGCGCAGTCCACAGGTAATTTAGGCTCCCCTACAGATGTGTTATGGTTACCTAACAAAGATCTTCCGACATTGACTCTCTCTACCGCAAAGTTGATGTTCACAATATGCTACCAAAATAGACATAAATTGTGTGAAAGTGGTCACATGCAACTGAGAGATTTCTCCTGAGTTATGGAAAACAGCATTTATGGTCCACAAAGGACTCTCCTCATGTTTATCTCATGAGGAAGATCCAGTATTGATGGTAATTAGTACCAACAAGGCTTGCACATTTATTTTTCCAAATGCTTGCATTACATGCAGAAGGTGCAGATCTGGGATGGGAACTATGTTTCATGTGTGGTGGAACATTTAGTAATAAACTACTGGGAAGGTGTAATGGTATTTATTAATTAATGACTTTTTGTCATAAAAAAGCATAATGAGCTTAATGCTTTAGACGCACCACTAGATGTCAGTAAAGCATAATGAGCTTAATGCTTTAGAGGCACCACTAGGGGTCAGTGTGCTAACTCATGTGCTTCTGGCAGTGACATCACAGGCCAGCCTACTTACTGGATAAAACCAAATAGTAGAAGGAATTCAGCCCCTTTTTTTTCTTTGCTTGCATTGATTGAACATGTAGCTGACTGTATAGCTCCAGCCAAACAGGCTGGAGCCGTGTAAGTAATCTATTATAACAGCTAGCAACTGTTATAGCCTTTTGTAAGTAATATGTTGTAGTTTTGTATTGTGGTAAATTGACATTCTGCTAGCATTTGTTTAATTGTTATTATAATTATATTAAATAAACATTTAATACTACAATGTTTTGTGTATTTCCTATTATATATTCGACCATAATACCGAACTCTAAAAAATATTAATGTTGTTATGTGTTGCTTAATTATTATATATTAATTATTAAATTAATATTCATATTTAAGTCACGACTGTAACAGAAGGAGTAACAAAAATAATAAGAGACTACATAGACATAGCTATAACACCATCACAGAGGTATTTATGTTGTACATTCTACCCAGGCATCTCCCTATGCGACACAAACTCCTAGACCTAATATTCACTTCAACACAACACTTCTGGCTAGAAAATGGAAACAAACCTTCCTACCAACGATCCAAGATATTCCGATGCAGGTCACCACTGCTCTAGATTACAAACTAATGGCTTCACACAGGTATATACAGGGAAAGCATCAAGAGTGGCAAGCAAATACTTGTCTGATTTTTTAGCAAAATAATACAATCAATAAATATATATACAACAATAGTGCGAAAACTGGGGTACACAATTTAAACCACATATTCAGAAACCGGGGAATGCTCTGCCTAATGTTAGCTCAGCATTTTATTTTGCTCTTGTAATTGTTTTTGTTTCCACTGTGACAAACTTACTTCCCAGTGTGTGTTTGTCCAGGATCTTTTGGCAACTTCACAGTAGACATGTGCAATTCATTTCAGTCCGAATTAAAATTCAGCCGAATTTCGGGTAATTCGGACATTCGTGTGCTTCCGAATGTCCGAATAGCGGAATTGCCGAAATGATGAATTGCCGAAGTCCCGAAATTACTGAATTTCCGAAGTGTAGTAGTGCAGAAGTTGCTGAAGTTCAGAGGTGTCAAAGTGCCGAAGTTCCGAAGCACAGTATTGCCTAAGTACTAATATACTTACCCAGTGAAAGAAGAAGAATGTTACATTGTATACAATTTTAAATAAAAAGTATACAAACATAGCCAGGATTCGGCTGTAAGCGTTTGCAACACTTACAACAATCAAGTAACACACATTCTTATAAAATGTACGTTACTTAGCCAGTCATGTAATGACAGGAATGAATAAGTAGATAACTTCCTACTTCCCACGGTATTAGGGAGCTATCTACTAAAAGGCTGAAAGACCTGAATTGGTCTTTCAGCCAAATTTACTAATACTAAGTAAAAATTACTTAGTATTAGTAAAGTATGCCCCTACTCGCTATATCATGACCTATTGCCCCCCGGCCCCCACCCCTGAGCGGTGGGTGTGGTCCCTAAATACAAATTGGGGGTCCTAATGTCCTCCCCCCTGGCCCTCACCCCTGAGTGGTGGGTGGGGACCCTAAACAAGAATAAGGGGGGACTTAATGTCCTCCCCCCTGGCCCCCTTCCCTGAGTGGTGGGTGGGGGCTCTAAACAAGAATAAGGGTGGGACCTAATGTCCTCCCCCCTGGCCCCCACCACTGAGCGGTGGGTGGGGGCCCTAAACAAGAATAAGGGGGGACACCTAATGTCCTCCCCCCTGGCCCCCATAATAACCGACGCAGTTAAAAAAACAAAAACCTGAGCGCAAAAAAAAAATCTTCACCTGGCGAGGGCTCCGCACAGACTGAGCTCTGCAGGGCGGGGGAAGGCTTATAAAGCCTTGCCCCGCCCTGCAATTAGGCTCAGAGTACTCTGATTGGTGGGTTTAAGCCATCCAATCAGAGTGCTCTGACAGGTAAATGAAGAGACTGATATTTAAGTCTCTACATTTACCTGTCACAGCACTCTGATTGGTTGGTTTGAAATCCACCAATCAGAGTGCTCTGTGTCATTTTACACAGCGTGGGAAAGTTATTTGGAATTTTCTCACACTGTGTAATTTGACTCATAACTCTTTGATTGGCTACTTAATCCAGCAGAGTGTTATGAGTCAAATGCCGGAGTTCCGAAGTTCCGAAGTGCAAAGTTGACAAAATTCCAAAGTGCCGAAGTTCTAAAGTTTCTAAGTTCTGAAGTGGCAAAGGTTCGAGGTGCCGAATTGTGGAAGTGCAGAAGTTGCCGAAGCTCCGAAGTGTCGAAGTGCCGAACTGCTAAAGTCCTGAACTGACGAAGTCCCGAACCGAGCCGAATATTTTCCCCATGCACATGCCTACTGCACAGCCCTCTAGGGTAAGGAAGCCAGGCCAAGACAAAGTCCAGTTTCAAAGCCCTCTGGCCTGTTTAATTTATGTTGTTAAGTAGCAGCAGGATACAACAGGATACAACAGGCAGCAAACCTTCTGTCACGACAGTGACCAAAGTCACAACAGTAACCCCTTCACACAGCGTGAAAACCCACAGAAAGACGGTTACCGGACCTTAGAATGGTCGGACTAGCGTCTGAGAATAGTCAAGAGAAATAGCCAGAGGTCAAGGGAATACGGAAGACGGGCACACGATAATCCAAGCCAAGATACGGGAAACCAGAACACAGAATAGTCAGAGAGGGATAGCCAAGGGTCTAATACCAGGAAGGACAATAAGAAAAGATAGCACCAGGGGACTTTAAACAAGAACCACACTAGGGCATCTGACAAGTGTCATGATAGCCCTTTTATAGTGTGGGTTCTATGGCTTTAATTTCGTAGCCACGCCCCCAAAAAGTCCGGGAGCGTGGCCACGTTTGAATTTTGGCGCCATTTTTACTCTGACGTCGGCGCACATGCGCCGCGTCATAAATGTGGCCGTGTTCCGAGCGGCCGGCGTCAGAATGTCTGAGCCGCCCCCCGGAAGCATCGGAGGAGGACCCGGCGCTGCGCGGGACCGGCGGGGAAAGGTAAGCGCTTGTTACAGTACCCCCTCCTCGAGAACCGCCCACAGGGCGGGAGGAACTGAACCCACAAGAGCGCCGCCTCTCAAATAGACGAACCAGACGAGGGGCGTGAACATCAGACGCATCGACCCATGATCGCTCTTCAGGACCGTACCCTTTCCAATCAAGGAGATATTGCAATTTACCCCGGGAATCCGGGAATCCAATATAGATTTAACTTCGTATTCGACATGATCCTCCACGGGTGCGGCAGGAGGAGGGGGATATTCTGAGTATAACGATTACAAATGAACGGTTTGAGAAGGGAAACATGAAAAGCGTTAGGAATTTTCATAGTATTTGGCAATCTCAAACTATAACAGACCGGATTAATGCGTTTGAGTATCTGAAACGGGCCTATGAAACGGGGAGCAAATTTCATCGAGGGTACCTTTAACTTTATGTTACGGGTACTTAACCAAACCCTGTCCCCCGCCACGAACGTAGGAGCAGCCCTACGTCGTCTATCCGCATTCTTCTTTTGAATCTGAGTCTTTTGATTTAAGATATGTTTAACTGCAAGCCAAGTTTCTTTCATATTGTGAAGGGTGCTGTCAACACTAGGCACTCCTGTAGATGAAAAAGAACTCGGCAAAGTAGGAGGATTAAACCCATAATTAATAAAAAAGGGACTATGTTGAGTGGATTCGTGTATTAGATTATTATGGGCGAATTCAGCCCATGGGAGTAGTTCCACCCAATCGTCTTGGTGCTCAGAAATGAAACAGCGGATGTATTGTTACAGGCATTGATTCATCCTTTCCGTAACCCCATTGGATTGGGGATGATAAGAAGAAGAAAGGTTAAGGACAATACCTAATTGGTCACAAAATGCCCTCCAGAACCGTGAAATGAACTGTGGACCCCTGTCAGATGTAATATCTTGAGGTATGCCATGTAAACGTACTACCTCTTTTATAAATAAAGAGGCCAGTTCAGAAGAGGAGGGTAATTTGATTAGTGGGATGAGATGAGTCATTTTAGAGAATCTGTCGATTATAGTCAATATAACCTTATGGTTCCTGGAAGAGGGCAGATCTACTATAAAATCCATAGCAATACTTGTCCAGGGTTTATCGGGAATGGACAATGGCAAAAGGAGGCCCAAAGGACGAGCTTTGGATGATTTCGTGGAAGCACAGACCCTACAAGCAAGAATGAACTCGCGAACATCCTTCTTGTATGAAGGCCACCAAAACTGTTCTTCGAGTAAAGACTCAGTTTTGTGAATACCTGGATGTCCTGCTAATTTGGAGCTGTGTACAAGGAATAAGACCTTTTTCCTATAAGACAGGGGTACGTATAGTTTTCCCCTGGGAATAGTCAATGAGGTCTGATCCTGAAACCTAGATAACTCCTCCATTAACCCTGAAGAGATTTTGGCACGGACGGTTGCGATTATATGGTTGGATGGGATAATGGAAGAGAGGTGCGTTACTGTAGGTGACAAATGTTCATATTGACGGGATAAGGCATCAGCCTTAGTGTTCTTTGATCCTGGTCTGTAAGTTACTATGTAGTTGAATCGTGTTAAAAATAAAGACCATCTAATCTGTCTATCTGACATTCTTTTAGTTTCTCCAAAATACGAAAGGTTTTTGTGATCCGTAAGGATGGTGATGGGAATGGTAGACCCTTCTAACAGATGGCGCCACTCCTTGAGGGCAGAGATAATAGCCAATAACTCCCTGTCCCCAATGTCATATCTCTTTTCTGTCTCAGTTAATTTCTTAGAAAAAAATCCACAGGGATGCAATGGTTGATCATCAGATGGACGTTGAGACAGTACGGCTCCAATACCGGTTTCAGATGCATCCACCTCTAATATAAATGGACGAGAGGGATTGGGATGCCTCAACACCGGTGCAGAAGAAAAGGCTAATTTAAGTCTTTCAAAAGCTTCCTTGGCCTCGAGATTCCATTCATTAGAATTTCGCCCCTTTTTGGTCATGTCAGTGATAGGTGCAGTGATAGAGGAGAAACCTTTAATAAATTTTCTATAATAATTGGCAAACCCTAGAAAGCGTTGGATAGCCTTGAGTCCAACGGGCAAGGGCCAATTAAGGATAGCTTCTAGTTTTTTTTTATCCATTTGGAATCCAGACCCTGAAATTATGTAACCCAGAAAATGCACAGTGTCTATATCAAATTGACATTTTTCTAATTTACAGTAAAGTCCATTTTTTAAGAGTTTAGAAAGAACCAACCTAACGTGAGTATGGTGGTCTTTAATATTCTTGGAGTAGATTAGAATGTCGTCTAAGTAGACAATAACAAACATATGTAAATAGTCCCTTAAAACATCATTAATGGGGCATTGCATAGCCCGAATGGCATGACCCTATACTCGTAGTGACCATAGCGAGTATTAAAAGCAGTCTTCCATTCGTGCCCTTTCTTAATCCTAACTAGATTGTATGCCCCCCTCAGATCCAATTTCGTAAAAATAGTTGCCCCTTTTAATCTATCGAAAAGTTCTGTGATTAGAGGAATAGGATAGGCGTTACGTATAGTTATTTTGTTTAAACCCCGATAATCAATACAGGGCCTTAAGTCCCCTTCCTTCTTGGAAACAAAAAAAAACCCAGCGCCAGCAGGGGAGGAAGATTTAGTGATAAACCCCTTTCTTAAGTTTTCCGTGATATATTCCTCTAATACCTTATTCTCGGCTACCGAGAGGGGATAAACTGTGCCTCTAGGGGGCATAGTGCCGGGTAATAAGTCAATGGGACAGTCATAGGACCGGTGTGGAGGTAATTTTTCTGCCTCTCTTGGCTCAAAAACTGCTTTTAAATCCCAATATTGTCTGGGTATCAGAGTGGTTAAAGGTTCCATAGTAGGTACATTAAGGAGACCTACATGTTTAATAGGGGTAATACATTTTCTGCGGCAAGTCTCACTCCATTTCACAATTTCCTTTTTCTCCCAATCTATAGAAGGGTTATGTTTAGAGAGCCAAGGAAAGCCAAGAATAACCGGAAAGATGGGGGAAGTGACTTGTTGCAGGATAATAACCTCCTTATGCAGGGAACCTACGGACAATACCACTGGAAGAGTCTCTTGTGTGATAAACGGGATAGATAATGGTCTACCATCTATGGCCTCAACGGCCAAGGGTGTTGATCTATTCTGAAATGGGAAAGCATGTTCCTGACCGAATTTATGATCAATAAAATTTTCGGCCGCCCCAGAGTCTATTAAGGCAATGGTTGGCACTTTTTTCTTTTCCCACTCAATAACAATAGGTAGAAGAAGCCTATGATCTTTTTTATCATTAAAGGAGGACATACACATTACACCCAAGGCCTGTCCTCCATGAGGGCTTAGGTGCGGGAGTTTTCCGGCCGGTTAGGACAGGTTGAACGAGAATGTCCCTTTCGGCCACAGTATAGGCATAGTCCCTCCCTACGGCGGTATTGTCTTTCATCCTCAGACAAACGTGTGACTCCCAGTTGCATTGGTTCTGGAGGAGCGACTGTTGTTGTCTCGGATGAAGGATAGGTTAACGCTAAGCGTTCTGGCACCCGTCGAGGTCTGTCTCTAGTATTCTGCCTATGTCTAAGACGCTCATCAATGTGGGAAAGATATGTGATCAATTCCTCTAACACATTGGGTAGGTCTCTAGTGGCAACTTCATCTAGGAGTTTATCTGAAAGCCCGTTCATGAATACGTCAATAAACGCTTGTTCATTCCATCTAACTTCAGCCGCATGGGTACGGAATTCTAAAGCGTAATCAACAAGAGAACGAGAACCCTGTCTCATACGTAGCAAGGTTTTGGCAGCATTAGTTCTCCTCCCTGGAGGATCAAAAGCCCTCCTAAAAGCTGCGACAAATTCTACATAGTTAAACACTACCGGGTTATCGTTCTCCCACAGAGGATTTGCCCAAGTCAATGCCCTATCGACCAATAAAGTAATGATGTAACCTATCTTTGCCCTATCTGTAGGGTATGCTCTCGGATGAAGCTCAAAATAAATACTGACTTGATTCAAAAAACCTCGGCAGCCTTTAGGATCACCCCCGTAACGGAGAGGGGAGGTAGCATGATTAGGAGTACCCATAGTAACCATTTCCATGGGTTGTTCCTGAGGTCTGAGTACTGGGGTTTGCTCCTCCGGTTGGAGATGGGCAGTACGAGCAAGCAAGGTTTGTACTGCAATAGCGAACTGGTCCATGCGATGGTCCAGTTCCTCAAACCGGTCATCAGGTGCCGGTCCGAGAGGGTTAACACCTGCAGGGTCCATGGCCCTAGTGTAATGTCACGACAGTGACCAAAGTCACAACAGTAACCCCTTCACACAGCGTGAAAACCCACAGAAAGACGGTTACCGGACCTTAGAATGGCCGGACTAGCGTCTGAGAATAGTCAAGAGAAATAGCCAGAGGTCAAGGGAATACGGAAGATGGGCACACGATAATCCAAGCCAAGATACGGGAAACCAGAACACAGAATAGACAGAGAGGGATAGCCAAGGGTCTAATACCAGGAAGGACAATAAGACAAGATAGCACTAGGGGGACTTTAAACAAGAACCACACTAGGGAATCTGACAAGTGTCATGATAGCCCTTTTATAGTGTGGGTTCTATGGCTTTAATTTTGTAGCCACGCCCCCAAAAAGTCCGGGAGCGTGGCCACGTTTGAATTTTGGCGCCATTTTTACACTGACTTCGGCGCGCATGCGCCGCGTCATAAATGTGGCCGTGTTCCGAGCGGCCGGCGTCAGAATGTCTGAGCCGCCCCCGGAAGCATCGGAGGAGGACCCGGCGCTGCGCGGGACCGGCGGGGAAAGGTAAGCACTTGTTACAACATGTTTGTGTTCCTGACCCTATAGTGTTCCTTTAAGGTTTTCAAGGCTGACGTTTGGCAACTCGAACTTTCAGCTCCCTCCACAGATTTTCTATAGGATTAAGCTCTGGATACTGGCTAGGCCACTCCAGAACCCTAATGTGCTTCTTCTTGAGCCATTCCTTTGTTGCCTTGGCTGTGTGTTTTGGGTCATTGTAATGCTGGAATATCCATCCACAACCCATTTTCAATGCCCTGGCTGAGGGAAGGAGGTTCTCACCCAAGATTTGATGGTACATGGCTCTGTCCATCATCACTTTGATGCGGTGCAGTTGTCCTGTCCCCTTAGCAGAAAAACACACCCAAAGCATAAAGTTTCCACCTCCATGTTTAAATGGTGGGGATGGTGTTCTTTGGGTCATAGGCAGCATTCCTCCAAACACAGCGAGTTAAGTTGATGCTAAAGAGCTCGATTTTGGTCTCATCTGACCACAACACTTTCATCCAGTTCTCCTCTGAATCATTCAGATGTTCATTGGCAAACTTCAGCTGGGCCTGTACATGTACTTTCTTGAGCAGGGGGACCGTGCGGGTGTTGCAGGATTTCAGTCCTTTCACGGCATAGTGTGTTACCAAAAGATCCTCCCATGTAGTTTTGGGCGTTCTCAAGATCATTGAAACTCCACAAGGTGAGCACCAGACCGAGGAAGACTGACCGTTATTTTGTGTTTCTTCGATTTGCGAATAATCGCACCAACTGTTGTCACCTTCCCACCAAGCTGCTTGGCGATGGTCTTGTAGCCCATTCCAGCCTTGTGTAGGTCTACAATCTTGTCCCTGACATTGCTTTTGTGGACAGGTGTATTTTATACAGGTAACAAGCTGAGATTAGGAGCACTCCCTTTAAGAGACTGCTCCCAATCTGAGCCTGTTAGCTGTATAAAAGACACCTGGGAGCCAGAAATCTTGCTGATTGATAGGGGATCAAATACTTATTTCACTCATTGACATGCAAATCAATTTATAACTTTTTTGACGTGCGTTTTTCTGGAGTTTGTTTTTTTTATTCTGTCTCTCACCAGGGCCGGACTGGAAATTTCCCGGTGGGCCGCGGCACCTGGGGCCGGTCTGACAGCTCCTGTGATCCCGGCGGCCGTGTGTGAGCTGTGCGGCCGCACATAGCCCCATGGGAGCAGGGGGAGCCAGGCGGCCGGCTCACACATGGCCGCCCGGATCATTTAAAAAAAAAAAGAAAAAAAAAATTGTGGCGGGGCGGAGCTTACTGTGCGGCGGAGGCGGGGCTTAGCGTGCGGCGGAGGCGGGGCTTACTGTGTGGCGGGGCCCGGCTAATTGCAGCATGGGAAGCAGGAAGGAGTCCCTGCTTCCCCAACAACCAGCCTCCAGGAGCTCCAAGCAGGAGGGAAGAAGGTCAGTGTGTCTGTGTGAGTGTGTGACTGTCTGTGAGTGTGTGACTGTCTGTGAGTGTGTGACTGTCTGTGACTGTGTGTGTGTGTGTGTGTCTGTGTGTGTGTGACTGTGTGTGTGACTGTCTGTGTGTGTGACTGTCTGTGACTGTGTGTGTGTGTGACTGTGTGCATTATGAATGCTTTCCTATGTGACCGGCTGAATGCGCGCGCAGCTCTTGCCGCGCGTGCGCATTCAGCCGATGGGGAGGAGAGAAGGAGGATCAGAGGAGGAGAGCTCCCCGCCCAGCGCTGGAAAAAGGTAAGTTTTTACCCCTTTCACCCTTCCAGAGCTGGGCAGGGGCACCCTCAGAGCACTATAGTGGTCCTTTAATATATAAGCCCTACAAGCACAATAAGTTATGGGGCTGGCTGTAATGATATTGATGTTACAAAGTTTTGGAGTCCAGTAGCCAGATCAGTAATGTTTTCTGCCAGAGGTAGCCACTCGTTACCCAGGTGGTTGAGCCCCTGAGCCTTGAGTGGCCTTCTGGTCTTAAGCAGAGATGGGAGACTGGAACAGAAAGATGATAATCGTAGTGAGGCAAGCCGAGGTCAGTGGGAAGGAGAAGCAGCAAAGTCAAAACAGTCCAAATTCAGCAACAGGAAGGAGAAACAGGAACACGCTTGATTAGAGAGTACAGGAACCACAATAATCTGGCAAAGGTACAGAGACAGGAAGTGGCTTTTATAGGCCAAGAACCAGACACCTGACCAGACACAGCTGAAGTGAGTTGTCACTGATAACCTTGACTCTACAAGCAATGGTATAAGATCTCAGGTAAATTTGCAAAAGGCAGGCTGGTGTACTGGTAAGGAAAAGGTTTAGCACCAGGTAAACCAGGGTTGGAAACCCAGCAGAGTCAGTTCCTCACATTACCTCCACCTCTACAGGCGCAGCCTCTGGATGCCCTATTTCCTGGTTTAGCAGGGTACTGTGCATGGAACGACTGAAGAAGATCAGGAGCATGAATATTGTCCACTGGTTCCCATGATCTATCCTCCTCACCATACCCTTTCCAATGAACCAAGTATTGAAGCTTGTTGCGGAAGATCCTGGAGTCAAGAATTTTTTCCACCTCGTATTCATCTTCACCATCCACGAGGACTGGTGGTGGGGCAGGCAAGGCTCGACCAGGGAAAGTATTTTCATGAAAGGTTTAAGCAGTGCCACGTGAAACACCGGATGTATTTTCATGGAATCTGGAAGTTGCAGACGGAAGGTGACTGCATTGATCTGAGCGATTATCTTAAAAGGTCCCATGAACTTTTGACCCAATTTATGAGAAGGAATCCTAAGCTTAAGATTCTTTGTTGACAGCCAAACCTTGTCACCAACATGATAAACTGGGGCCTCCTTTCTGTGCCTATCAGCAGCTCTTTTGTAACATTCCTGAGCCTCCGAAAGAGTCTCCTTCAACAGTTCTTGGGAATCTCGTAAGGCGGTTAGCCGGTCAGTGACTGCAGGAATGGGAGTAGTAATTGGGAGACTCACTAGAAAGGTTGGATGGTAACCATAATTGGCAAAAAATGGGCTCAGAGAAGTGGAGCAGTGTTGGGCATTGTTATAGGCAAACTCCGCCGTGGGTAGAAAATCCAGCCAGTCATCCTGCAGGTAACTAATATAGCACCGCAAATATTGTTCTAAAGTCTGGTTGGTTCGCTCAGTCTGTCCATTACTTTGTGGATGAAAAGCTGAAGACAGATTTACATTAATACCTAGAATAGAACAAAAATATTTCCAAAAATGAGATGTAAACTGCACTCCCCTGTCAGAAATTACTTCATCAGGCACTCCATGCAAGCGAAATATTTCCCGAATAACAAGGTCAGCAGTCTGTTTAGCTGAAGGGAGACCACGAGCTGGTATGAAATGACTCATCTTGGTTAACCGGTCCACAACAACAAGAATAGTAGTGTGTTCCTTAAAGGGAGGTAGTTCCACAATAAAGTCCATGGATATAGATCCCCAGGGACGATGAGGAATCGGAAGAGGCTGAAGCAAGCCAACAGGGGATGAGCGAGGAGTCTTATGTCTGGCACATACATCACAAGAGGACACATACTTCTTAACATCCTCATAATATTTAGGCCACCAAAAGGATCGGGTAAGTAGTTCTTGTGTCTTTCGGATTCCTGGATGACCTGCTGGTTTAGAGTCATGGTAGAGGCGTAAAACGTCCAGTCGCACTGATTCTGGAACAAACAGACGCTGTTGAAAAATCCAAAACCCATTAAGCATGGTCATATGAAGATCACGAGGAGGATCACGAAAAACTGGATCTTTAGAGTAGCCCTTTTTAATGCGAGACATTAGATCAGAAGGAAAGGTAACTCCTAAAAATCTGCTCTCCGGCAAGATGGTGGCCTTGGTTACTGTAGTATGGAGGGGGTCAGCTATCCTAGACAAGGCATCCGCCTTGCCATTTCTGGAACCAGGGCGGTATGAAATAAAAAAATTAAACCTTGAGAAAAATAGGGACCAGCGTGCTTGTCTGGCTGACAGTCTCTTAGCGGATTGATACATTCCAGATTTTTGTGATCTGTGAGGACAGTAATTGGATGGGTGGCTCCCTCCAAGAGATGTCTCCATTCGGTGAAGGCAGCTTTTATAGCCAAAAGTTCTTTATTCCCTATGTCATAATTTCTTTCTGCTGGTAACATCTGGCGGGAATAGAAGGCACATGGATGTAACAACATCTTAGGTCCAGTCCTTTGAGACAGTATAGCCCCAACAGCTGAATCAGAAGCATCTACCTCTACAGTAAATGGCAATTCTGGCTGAGGATGTACCAAGATAGGGGCAGATGTAAACAGAGTCTTTAATCTGGAAAATGCAGTGTCAGCCTTATTGGACCACTGAAAAGGAGTCCCTTTACGTGTAAGTTCAGTGATCGGTGTAATAACGGCAGAGAAATTCTTAATGAAACGCCTGTAAAAATTGGCAAACCCCACAAATCTCTGTATATCTTTTTCATTCTTGGGGATGGGCCAGTCCAGCACAGCTTTAATTTTACTTGCGTCCATACTTAAACCTTTAGGAGTTATTACATACCCCATGAACTGAATTTCTGTTTGTTCAAACTCACATTTTTCCAGTTTAATGTATAGGTGGTGGGTACGAAGGCGCTCAAGAACAATGCAGACCTGTTTTCTGTGATTTTCAAGATTATCAGAAAATATCAGGATATCATCCAAATATGCCATAACAAACTGATCCAGGAGATCCCGTAGTACATCATTGATTAGATGCTGAAAAGTTGCAGGGGCATTACAAAGCCCAAATGGCATTACTAGATATTCGTAATGTCCGTACCTGGTTCTGAAAGCTGTTTTCCATTCATCATTTGGTCTTATGCGAACCAGATTATATGCCCCCCGTAGATCAAGCTTCGTAAATATTTTAGCTGAACGAAGTCTCTCCAGAAGTTCAGGAATGAGAGGCAAGGGATAACGGTTTTTAACAGTGATTTTATTAATGTCCCTGTAATCAACACATGGTCGTAGACTGCCATCTTTCTTTTCTACAAAGAATATAGGAGCTCCTGCTGGAGAAGTGGATGGTCGAATAAAGCCTTTGGCAAGATTTTCTTGTATGTATTCACGAAGTGCTTTCAATTCAGGCTCAGAAAAGGAGTATATACGGCCAAATGGGATAGCAGCTCCAGGTAGCAGCTCTATGGGGCAATCATAAGGCCTGTGAGGTGGAAGCTGATCAGCATTCTTCTTATCACAGACAGGGCCGCCATCAGGGGGTGACAACCATAACGGTTGTCACGGGCCCGGCGGCCCTGGGGGGCCCGGCCGCCCGGCCCCCACATGTGGGGACCATCGGGTGGCCCACACACTTAGGGCCACCCGATGGGCCCTATATCTTCAGTGGCCCGGTCAGCGCTGTGGCCGCGACCGGGCCCCTCCCAGCCCACTCCGCGCGGGAGGAGCGCGCGCCGGTGAAGAAGGAGAGCCAGGCAGTGAAGAGAGAGCCGCACCGACTCCCATCATCCCCAGCCACCCTCCTGCAAAGAAAAGGTAAGAGACAGGAGGGTGGCTGGAAAATGAGCTGTGTGTGTGTGTCTGTATGCATGTCTGTCTGTCTGTCTGTCTGTATGTATGTATGTGTATGTCTGTCTGTAGGCATGCATGTATGTATGTCTGTCTGTCTCTGTATGTATATCTCTCTGTATGTATGTCTGTCTGAATGCATGTCTGTATGTATGTCTGTCTGTATGTATGTGTATGTCTCTATGTCTGTCTGTAGGCATGCATGTATGTCTATGTATGTCTGTCTGTCTGTCTGTATGTATGTCTGTCTCTGTATGTATATCTGTCTGTATGTATGTATGTATGTCTATGTATGTATGTCTGTATGTATGTCTGTGTGTGTGTGTCTGTATGTATGTCTATGTTTGTCTGTCTGACTGTATGCATGCATGTATGTCTATGTATGTCTGTATGCATGCATGTATGTCTATGGATGTATGTATATCTGTCTGTATGTATGTCTATGTATATATATGTATGTCTGTATGTCATTATATATGTATGTCTGTATGTCAGTATGAATGTATGCCTGCATATCATTATGAACGTATGTCTGTGTGTATATGTGTATGGATGTCTGTATGCATGTATGTCTGTATATATGCATGTATGTCAGTCTGAATGTATGTATGTCTGTATGCCATTATGAATGTATGTCTGTTTATGTCTGTATGCCATTATGAATGTATGGATGACAGTGTCTGTATGTCTGTCAGTATGTCTCTGTGTGTGTATGTATGTATGTCGGTGTCTGTATGTATGTATGTATGTGTCTTTATGTCCTCATGCATGTGTGTCTGTATTTATGTTAGTATGTGTCTGTCTGTCACTATGTATGCCTGTGTGTATGTCTCAGTATGTATGCCTGTATGCGTGTATGTCTGTTTCAGTATGTGTGTCTGTTAGTATGTATCTCTGTCTTTTTGTATCAGTGTGTGTGTTTGTGTCTGTGTGTATATTCCTGTGGGCGGTATTTGAAGGCGGACCCAGTGGGCGGTATTTGGAGGCGGGCCCCAGGGGGCCCAGACCCTGAGCTGAGTTAGGGGCCCCAAAATTTCTGGTGGCGGCCCTGATCACAGACATCTGCAAAATCCCAATATTGTAGCGGAAGCTTAGTTAAGTTTGTAGCAACCATTTCATTAATTGTTGTGGTAACAGGTGTCGCCTTAGAGGGTTGACAATTCATTAAGCAGTGTTCTGAAGGAAAGGACAAAGTTCTAGTCTTCCAATCAATCTGTGGGTTATGCAGAGCAAGCCAGGGTATACCCAAAATCACTGGAAACTGTGTTGAGGAAATTAGGTGGAAAGATATAGACTCATGGTGATTCACTTCCAGAATCAATTTTAAGGGCACAGTCTCATGTGTAACCGGGCCTGACGTAAGTGGAGAACCGTCTACTGTTTCCATTAACACAGGTGAAGATTTAGGGATAGACTGAATTTTATTTCCTGCTGCAAATTTAATGTCCATAAAGTTTCCGCCTGCTCCGGAATCTATCATAGCTGTAGTTGAAATTTTATTATCACCATATTGCAAAGTGATAGGCACCACTAAATGAGGATGTTGAGTCATCATACCTTCTTCACCCTGAGCCAGAGAAAACAAGGGTTGTGTGACAGAATCCAGTTGGTCTGAAATCTGGGATTGGTGTTGAATCTGTGCACCCTCAGCACTCATAGCTATTGTTCTTTTAGACTTGTTAGGGCAATTGATGGCATAATGCCCTGCACTACCACAATACAGGCATAAGTTGTGAGTGCGTCGCCACTGTTTTTCTTCATTGGATAATGGCCCTCTTATTAGATCTACCTGCATAGCCTCAGGTTCAGAGTCTGTAGGTGTTTGTGGGGTCGGAGTAGAAATTCTTGAATAGAAAGTAGGAGTAGCACTTGGTTTAAAAGAGCCCTGTCTTTCCAATCTTCTTTCTGAAAGTCTCCGATCAATACGGATAGCCAACCGCACAAATGCATCAAACTCAACAGGAAGATCAACACGAGCTAGCTCATCTTTTATAGCTTCTGAGAGACCCCTTCTGAAGTGGAACCTCTGGGCTGATTGGTTCCAAGTAGTATCAGTAACCCACTGTCTGAATTCAGCAGCATATTCAGCCACAGAGCGCCTCCCTTGATGTAAATGAAGGAGAGTGGCTTCTGCTGTAGCACAGTGATTGGGATCATCAAAAACTAGGCACATGGCCTCAAGAAAGTCTTTTAAATTTCCCAAGACTGGACTGTCCTGTTCCAGAAAAGGGGAGCCCCAGGCCAGGGCTTCATCTTTGAAGAGGGAAAAAATAAATCCCACCTTCTCTCTTTCAGATGGAAAACGGTTAGGTAACATCATGAAATGCAAACGGCATTGATTTAGGAAACCCCTGAATTTTTTGCGGTCTCCTCCAAATTTTTCTGGTAGAGGCAAGCGGGCATCTTGTGCAGGTGTAACAGTAGTAGTAGCAGCAGCCGCAACATCATGTGCCCTGTAGCTGGTAAGCTCACTATGCATTGATCGAACTTCATTTTGCAGTTCAGCTACCTGATCCTGCAGCACTTGAATGGTCTGTGCCTGGGTCTGCATAGTTCTTGCATTAAAAGCAACCTGCTGGGCCAATGCAGAATCTGATCCGACGGTCTCCATGAATGGGCCAGATTATTCTGTAATGATATTGATGTTACAAAGTTTTGGAGTCTAGTAGCCAGATCAGCAATGTTTTCTGCCAGAGGTAGCCACTCGTTACCCACGTGGTTGAGCCCCTGAGCCTTGAGTGGCCTTCTGGTCTTAAGGAAGAGGTTTAGCACCATGTAAACCAGGGTTCGAAACCCAGCAGAGTCAGTTCCTCACAAGGTGTTAACAAGCTCCCAGGTGGTCTCTGTTGTTCAGTTGTTCAGTAAACGAACTGATGTAGAATTATTAAAATCTTTACTGAACCTGTATTGAATTATTGTACTAACTCCATTTTTAATCTCACACTATGACAGAATTCTCCATTTTGTTCACCTTACATGACAGAATTTCCTGACAGTATTCAGTATAATGAATAAGAGATTGTATTTTCTCTCTCTAAGGACATAACTAGCCCCGGAGTTAGCGGATCTCCGTTGACTTGCAACATAGTATAATCCAAGGCCAGGAGAACAGCGACAAAATGAAATGTTCTATTCATAAAAGAACCTTGGAACAGACCACGAGACTGACATCACTAACTACGTAAAATGACGCCCAAGCCCCCCTTTCCACCGAGTAAGCCTCGTGCTAAAGAGCAATGGCGACGACATCCCATGATGGGAGGGTGCCTCACTAGTCACTCAAATCTCTGAGCCAATTAATAATATTAATGGGTGGACACTGACATAGCCACTTAACATTTAACCCAATTAATGATGTTTATTTGTTATTATCTGATATTCAATGATGATGTCATTTTGCATATAAAAAGGCCTGCGTGCCCGCTTTTTAACTAGATGCTAATAAATTTCCTGAAGTGTTTTTAACCTGAACTGCATGTGTCAGTGTGAACTTACTTCTGCGTATACGCAATTTATTCATCTCAGATTTGGACAGGAACAGATAGACTTTTAAACATTTTTGTTTATTTCTAAATTAATCTACATCAATCTGGCGTCCATCCAACGTGGGGCATCGGGCTATGGCCTCCGGCCGGTAAGCCGTCCTAAGGAAGACGCTGTTGGACGGGGGAATCGGGGGGGAAGGAAGAGAGACTGATCACCTCTGAGTACACGGTAGAGACTTCTGCAGGAGCCACCGGTATGTTCCAGCCCCTTTGATTGACCCGTCCACGTGTCTGTGACTGCTTCCCGGGAGGGCATCAAAGACAGGTAATATCTTGCCCGGTGTCTTGTTACCCATTTGTTTACCTGCATTTAGTCTATCTGTTGCCTGGGTGTGCTAGTGGTATATGTTTTGTTCTTTCCCTCTTTTGGGATAAAGGGGGGTGGACCCGTGGGTGGTTGCCTGGGGGTCTTCTGTTGCCTGTTTTTACCCCTTTTTAGGAGTCACTTGGCCCAGACTGTTGGGAACCTGTGGGGACTTTCCAAAGGGGTCCTGTTTTCCTGTTTACTTCTTTTAGGTACTGTCTAGCTAACAGTAGTAAGGAAAAAGAAGGGTTCGGGGATCTGTGGAGGGGACTTGCCTCCTGGGGTTTCCCGGTTACGTCACTTTGATATTCTAGCTAGCCTCATTGTGTACGTTGCTCTGCTTGCAGAGGTTATGGTACCCTCCAGCTTCGAGCGCTGAGGCTGGTGGCATTCCAATTTATTTGTGGTGTGTGGATTCGGGCAGGCATTGTTGTCTCCATCACCACGGGGTAGTGTGACTTGTGGGTGGGTCCATAGGGAGCACTACGGGAGTGAGGATAGAGGTGGCCACACTTAGTGGACTGCTGTAACGAGGGAGGCATATGGATTTCGGGCCGGTGTTAGTCGTTATCCTTGGCCGCTGGTAGTGAAACTTACGAAAGTTGTTCTCCGAGCGGGGACACTACGAGATTGAGGGAGGTGGCCTTGGTGGCCACAAGAGTAAAGGAAAGGGATTACTGTTGATGCATGCACTGTATTTCAATTGAAATGTTGTATTAAATGTTGTCTTAAGTGTGGAGTCATTCAAACTCCTGGGTCTGTCTCTACTTTCACTGTTTACTTTTACTTTACTTCCTGTACTATTTACACTATCCACTCCTATTTCTCTTGAAAGAGAAGTGATTGGTCACACACTTCTCACCCCGCTCCAATCCGTGGTTACCATCGAGGGTACACGGATTCAGTGACTGGTCTACGTTTTGGGAAGACGCACTGGGAGGGACCCACCCTACCTAGTGGCAGTCGAGCATTGTAGACGTTCTGTTTCATTTTCCTTTACCTATACTTGGGACGCTTTGTATAGGGGGATATGGGACAGGAAACGAGTAAGCCCGCTAGGGGCTGGCTCGCGTGTGATTTAGTTGAAGATAGAGAAGGTGAAGAACTGGTTAAAAATGTTGCAAAGATTGCTAAAGTGTGTAAAATTGCTGTGCCTTCATGTGGTAGATTACAACCAGAAAGTTGGCGTAGATTACTGACAGAGAAGAAAGGCAAGCTTACAGATAATGATTTATTGCGTACTGCTGAAGCATGGTACAGAGTAGAAAGGCTATCCAGCAGGAGGGTTGGGTAGAGGAAGAGATAAATCATAAAGGGTTAAGAACTGTATGTATATCATAATAATTGTGTTACTGGATGCTGATGGATCCCTATTCTTCCCCCCCCCCATCAGTCCTACAGATCTCGTCACCCTCATCCTCTCTCTGCAGCTCCCTGCACCTCCAGTCCGTTTCTCCCGTCAAAGATTTCTGGTTTCCAAACGTATAAGTCTCTGTCCTTCTGTCGTCACCCCTCTCACTTCCTCCCTTGCTGTCATTTCCTTCCCCGCCCCTGTCATGGCTGCCTCCATCATGAGGCCTACCCCTATTATGCTCGTCCCATTTAGAGACATGTTGTTTTCCTTACACTCTACATATTATGAACAGAAACATTATAATTACTAAAACAATCATGCCATTTGTTTCCCTGTATCAACAATGTGTCCGTGATATAAAAAAAAAAAAAAAAAGAAGGTTGCTAAAATGTAATTTGCAACTGTGGTGTGACGTACAAATGAGATCTGTTGGACACAAATATAAGAGCATAACAGCTGATTATCCAGATTAATCTTGCAACAAGGGAAATAGCCAAATAATGCAAGTTATTTTAAACATTGTATCTTTACTTAATCGAATCTTGCTAGTTACAGATCTTATGTTTACAGTAACATCCTTTACTTTAAATGATGGTTTAGCATTAGAAGGATTAGTGACATGTTTTATTAACCCAGCCACTACTGGTTGTTTATTTTAGTTACAGGGTGGTATAATTGTTATAGTCTAATTAATATAAATGATAGTACCGCAATAGTTAATGTTTTATCCAAAGACATTTAGGAACTTTACTTAACTTACTATTAACCATTATTTATAATGATAGACATGTTCAGACTGCAAAAAGCTATGGCTAATGACATAGAAAGGGGTTTGAGTCAGTAACACAGCCCATACAGAGGAGAGCAAACCCGCTGATGCTTAATGCCCCTGCCATGGCAGTGTCTACAGGGAACAAGGGGGGCCACTTGCCACTGTGACTTTACCCATTGAAGGACGAGAAACCACATTTTTAGTTGACACAGGTGCAGCCCGAAGTGTTCTGAGAGAACAAGACCTGCCAGATGCCTCATTCCTATCAGAAATAGATGTCTCTTGTGTTGGAGTGGATGGCCAACCAAGGCACAGTCCTTTAACAACCCCATTGCGAGTTGGCAATTACCCAAACTTGCTTGCTCGATTTGTAGTATCCTCCACATGCCCAATTAACCTGTTAGGTGCTGATGTCCTCTCACGCCTGCAGGCATCTATTACCTTCACCCCAGAAGGTCAAGTAGAATTGTCTACTCCCCTATCTGAATCAGATACCTCAGTTTTGTGCTCCCTACCTCTAGTGCTGCATTTAGATGAACCCCGTGGGGAAGCAAAAGAGCAGAGGTCCAATTTTTCGGATATCATCAAAACAAAGGTACCTGCAAAATTATGGTCCAAAGGCCCAGAAGACATAGGTCATCTGAGAGTTCCACCTGTGGTGGTAAAGCTCATTCCAGGAGCAAAATTACCAAGAAAACCACAATATCCTCTAAAGCCAGCTCAGGCTGCAGCTATTTCAATTCAAATCAAAGCACTTTTGGAGAAAGGTGCTCTTGTGAAGTGTGAATCAAAATGCAACACCCCATTATTTCCTGTGAAGAAGAAAACACCAAAAGGGGAACCAGAGAAGTACAGAATGGTCCAGGACCTCAGAGCTGTCAATGAAGCAACTGTCCTGGACACCCCTATTGTACCAAACCCCCACACTCTGCTATCTGGAGTTCCACCATCTGCAAAATACTTCACAGTCATTGACCTGGCTAATGCCTTCTTCAGTGTTCCACTGGATCCGACTTGCCAATACCTGTTTGCTCTCACTCATGAAATGCAACAGTATACATGGACTGTCATGCCCCAAGGGGCACAAAATTATCCAAGTCAATTTGCTAAAGCCATGTGCTCCATCCTGGACCCATGGCAAACAGACCACCCAGAAGTTGTCCTACTTCAGTATGTGGATGATCTCCTACTTTGTGGGGATGACATACCTACAACAGAAGACTGTTCTATTAGTCTCCTTTGCTACCTAGCAGAACAAGGATGCAAAGCTTCACATCTCAAGCTGCAATTCTGTCAGCCAACAGTAATCTTTCTTGGACATTGCCTATCTCAAGGCACCAGACATCTCACTCGGGACCGAGTCAGAGCCGTACTGGAGATTCCACCTCCAAGAACCACAAAATCTCTCCATGCTTTTTTAGGCCTCATTTCCTATTGCAGAGCATGGATCCCAGAAGCCTCTCTGCTTATGCAGCCACTCTATGATG